GCTGATGAGCGCTGGACTCAGGGGAACTTTGAAACACTTTGTATTCATATTTCTGATAATATAAGCTGTGAAACTCGGTCCTCTTCTTCTCTACCTTTGTCTATGGTTGATACTATTGATCACTGTGTGTGAAGATGATGCATGACATGTACACATTTGCGTGAGATGGTCCCTAGGACCCATGCAATCTGATGAATATGTGTACTTCGAAATTGGCCAGGATCATAACAAAGTGGTTGAACAACAGAGCTAGGGAAGGGTGAATCCTTGATGACAGAGCAAGAACGCATGATCAGATGGGTGGTCAGATACATGGGTGCTGATCAATAAACACAGAGGGGAGAACATAGGGGATGTGAACTCACAGACAACTTGGAAGACTATGTGATAAGGAAGGGGGGGAGGGGGAGGGAACCAACGGAGAGGGGGAGAGAGAGAGACAGAGAAAGAAGAGTTCTCTTTCACCAGCCGCATAACTTCGAATGACGATGCCCCTGTCCCTCTTGTTTTCCGTTGTTTTTTTTTTATGTTTCTCACATCTCCCAGCCATTGTCCTGAACCAAAGAAAGAACGTGGGTTATTGACGCACATCTCCCAGCCTGTGTCTTGAATGGATGGATGAACGAATGGGGAAGGAGCTAATTACAGAATGCATGACAATTTTGAGCGAGTGACCTGGTGAGGCCGAAGTAAGGGCAACTGGATGACCAAAACAAAGACTGGGCCACCGCATATGTCGACGACCATAATTCACCATTGTAAGCACTTCTCTTGTGTCTCACTTCAGTCTTATGGTCTCCAGTTCTGTAAACAGGGAAAACTTCAAAAAAGAAACAGAAATAACAAGAGAAGAGTAGAAGATTGTTCTTCCTCTGAGAAGATTACAGCCATGAGTTCATAGCACCCTCCTACATATCACCTTCAGTGAAAGGATCTTCATATTTATACCTGTCCTTTGTACCCTGCTTGCTTAACCTCAAGCTGTGCTGTTGACTGCTCCATGTGAGCCAGCCTTTCATTTTCGACAATGACTGTTCTGGCCTCAAGATTAGCTGTATCCCTACGAGCCCTTCCATCCTGTTCCGCTTGGCCAACATCACCCTTGTAACGAGATTCTGCCACTGATATGCGAGCCTGCATTGGAAATGCCACCACATCCGATATGACAACATGTTACATGACTGTGACTCGGTTGCTAGTACATACATTACGAATCTTGATGTCCCAACTTCTTTGCAGGAAGAGCATCATTTCCACAGCTGAGATGGCAGGGACGTAAGAGAGAGAAAGCAATATGCCACCTCTGAGAGAGAGAGAGAGAGAGAGAGAGAGAGAGAGAGAGAGAGAGAGAGAGAGAGAGAGAGAGAGAGAGAGAGAGAGAGAATATACCACCTTCTTCTTCTTCTCACATGTACATATGCATACACAATCTACTGCAGACCAGATGAATTTTACTGATGACTGGTGGATAGGGTGGACACAAGTGGAGGCTGGGGGTGTCCAGAGGGGAGGAAAGGGTGCACATGAGGAGAGGGAAGCGAGTACCTGGCACTGGGGGAGGCTTGAGGACCATTCCAAGGAGATGCTTTCCATCTACGCAAGGAGGGATTGGGAGTGTTACTTCGCATTCTGAGGGAGGAGGGGAAGGGAGCGTTGAACAGGGAGTGTTGAAGGGAGCAGCATGCACGTGCCTCTCCAAAGGCAGTTTTCTGACTTGCATGCCTTCCCAAGCAGTGTGTGTTACATGCCCAGTTGGGCAATGTATGTAGAGCCAAGGATCCGCAATGTGATAAAAAGGACTGAATGGACAATGTAATGTCAGTGGAACATCAACAGGCAATATACATCCTGATACATACAAAGTGGCACATAGTAGCGCAGCAGAAGTCCTGATCTGACCGGGACTGACGCGACATCCCATCATACACACACATGTGAGCAGAGGAGGGACCACACACAGAGAAGAAAGGTCCCTCCTTTGTACATGCACACAGGGGGAGATACCACAGATTGGGGAGAGGAGAGACGAAGATGGAGGCGAGGGAGAAGACCAAGATCGCAATAGCAAGTCCAGAAAGAGTCCCTTGTGTGAGGCTCAAGGCCTCGATCTGCCCTACTGGGCCCTCTTTTCTGTACAGTCGGCCGCCCTAAGTGAAGGCAGGCTCGACCCAGGGCCTACAGGCCTATTTTTGGGGTCACCATGCAACTGGGTAAATTCAGGCAGTTGTGCAGCGCCAGTTGGTTGAGAGCGCCCAGGCCCAGGCTGCCTCTTTCGAATGTAACTGAGGCAGACCCTGGGCCAGATTCGCAACATGGACCGAACACAGGCCACGGCCAGTTGGACACGGGCAACCACCACAGGCCCAGGGCCTGATTCGTTTGGACTGGGGCTCAACCTCTCTGGGCCTACCGGAAGCTTCTGGGCAGGGGCCCAGCGCGGCCAGGCTGCACGCAAGCAAGCAGGCCACTTCCATTTAGGAGAGGGCCTGCCCTCGCATATGGCATTCGGGCACTGGCTGCATGCTGCGCAAACACTGCTGCGCTAACGCTGGCCAGCGCTCACACGCTCACGGACGAGCTGGAAGGAGCAGGCAGCCATAGCCGAGCTGCGCTGCTGCATGCTGGATGGGGCGCATGGTGGTTATTGGGTGCATGTGGCATCTGTGAGTTGGGGATCAAGGTTGTGAGTGATACGAGAGACATACCTGGTGCTTGAGGCAAACGGCATTGGCCGAGATCTGCTCGTACTTCGGGGAACTGTTGACATCATCAGCGGCATTGTAGACAGGCTAGATAGGATCTGCCATCTGTAGTCTGGGCGCCGAGCGCCAAATAGGATATTGACATTGGTTCTTCATTGATGATGATGAGACTATTCCAGCATTGTCAATTATGAGCTTTCGCTGTGCTCTTATTTGGTGGAACTCGTGATGCAATTCTGCAATTGGTTCAAGGTCACGACTATCTGGTCTCATGTGTATGATGCTGTTTGATTTTCTAAAGTTCGCTATTGCTCATTTCCCTTGCAATTCAGTATCGGAGCTGTGGTACGTTGAGCTAATCTGGCGCTTGTCTTCTGCCTATGCGGTACGTGTATGCGGTTTCCTGGGCGAGCGGCCGTAGGGAGTGTGTAGTGAGGAGGGCGGAGGCAAGCAGTCGACTCAGGAGGAGGGGGGATCGCCAGGAAGGCTACGTGGTGAATATTGGGTATTTGCAGTGTGATGAGAACTGTCTGGTGTCCGATTGATGCTGCGGTGGAACAGCGGTGTAATGCTGGTTGTGCCGAAGCAGCAATTGGTCATCACAATCGGCATCGGGTCATCTGGTGAGAATATGTGGTTGGGGGAAGCTATTTAGAGGTACATTGCACCTAACCTTATCTACCCTCTTCCACACTTCTTACCGTGAGGATGTTTGTTCTGTCTTGAGAGTCCTCTCATGTGAGGAGTCGATTGCGCTCAACCTTGAGAGTCGTCAGTGTTCACGGGGAGCATCTGGAAGGAGAGGGTGCTGCTAGCTGAAGGGCCCTGGACGAAGCACTGGGTCACGGTCACCATGCCAACCCACCGGGAGTAGAGCACGCATGCTTTGCTGCTTTGTCCTTTGTCTGCTCGCTGCGCTGTAGAGGGGTTCTGAGGGGCAGGCTAAGGGTAAGACGAGGCCGGATGTCTATAAATAAATACTGGTGGGGACCTTCCATTGGCTGTGATCGTTGTCCTGTTTGCGACGTTAAATAATTCCTGAGGACTTCGGGGGCTGTCCATAAAAACGTCTCCTGATCAGCCAATCGGTCAGTGTAAGGTTCGCTGCACGTGAGGATAAAGACTGTGCAGGGCTGGCCAGCTCAGCAGGACTCGGGGCACATGGGTGGGCCGTGGTCACACCTTTAGACACGCATGCTGTTCCGGATTGCTCAGGGACGTTGATGGCAAGAGACATTCAGGAAGAATTGAGGGAGGAGTAGATTCCGGGTGATAAGTCTGGGCAAGATTCCATTCTGCAAACAGACCCAACAAACGATTCTATTCTCATTTTGATTAGTTAGATGTACAGCCATTAACATCTGACAGACAACATAGTTTAGAACTGTTCTTTGTTCATTGTGCTTTCTGTTTGCGAACTAGTCAAAGTCAAGATAGTCTCGTTTGTAGGAATCTGAACTTACCTGTTGGACCCAAATGTATATACTCTGACTTAGACACTGATTAATTATTTGCCTATTTTAAATCAGTCTGTGCACTACGCTGCGGTAGGCATCGAAGAGTGACCTAGTCCAGATTGTGTATAGTTTTGTAGCTTACGAGCGACAGGGAGACCAGTAGTGAGGACGATGGGATCTTGCGATCGGCTAGATGCCCGATAGCCCACTTGGCATTAGGACCAGAAGGCGACATATTTCTGTTCCGCCAGCAGAGAGAGAGACAGCAGCAGCAGAGAAGAGCTAGAGCACAGAGGCAAGCAGGGCATTTGCAAGTGAGGCCGCTACTGGCAACTGCTGCGCAGCAGAGCTCTCAGGCTAGTCGTCCAGGGACTGTAGGGTCAATGGTCGCACAGACCGTGAGTCAGTCCACTGGCGTTATGGAAAGCCAGCCCATAGTGTTGACCCCTGAAGAGGTCACCATACAGCAGGCAGCACTGCAAGAGGCACAACTACAGAAGGCTCTAGGAGAGATAAAGGCAGAGAAAGAAAAGATGATTAGAAGAAGAGCAAGGATGCAGCAGAGACAAGCAGACGTTAGTGATTTAGAGGGAATGGACCTGATGCACATGGATGCAAATATGAGGACACTGTGGACAGTCCTGCTAGGTGTAGTAGAAATGTAGGACCACCACACGACCCTCCTTCAGGACATTCAGCAGCAAAGTCTGGCCATACTGGTCGGGCGAGCTCAGGCGGCACCATCACCATCAGGGCTTGGTGCCTGGCCCGTGGTACAACCTCCTTCTTTTGTCCCACCGATGACTGGGGTATCCCCATACATAGCTCCAGCATCGATACCGTCCGTTTCCCTAGGTATGCCATTGACAGGAGGGTTCTCAGCAGGTCCTGGTGTACAGGTTCCAGTAGAGACAGTGTACACCCAACCTCCATCGCAGGTCGCCGAAACAGGGAAGCCTGCTGTCTTGCAGCCTGCACAGCAGCAACTAGTGCAGCAGCCTGGTCCCCAAGGTCCACAGCCTGGAGTGGGACAGGTACCGGGACAAAGCCAGTGGGTACCGAAGACGGCCATCGCCTCTCCCAAACCCTTTACAGGGGACAAGAGGGGCGAAGACCTTGACACATGGTTGAGGTCAGTGCCAGTCTATGTCAAATGTAGATTGACCTTGCCGCATGCGGAAGTGCTTGTGGCTGCCTCTTATTTAGAGGGGAGTGCAACAAGATGGTTGAGCGGTTTAGTGCAACTACAAGGATACGATCATGACTTCCGAGCTTGGGCAGTCAACCAAAAACTGGATGACTTCCTTAAGTTGCTGGAAGATAGGTGGCATGATCCTCAGGAGGCTCAAAAAGCCACTGGCGCGATCCTGACTTTGAACAACAGGCAGTTCAAGACAGTAATGGAAGCCACAAGCGCAGTAGAGTGTCTAATTTGTGTTCCTGGAGTACGCTACGACCCCCAGGTTTTACTCACCTCCTACCTGAGATGTTTTCCTATGCCTCTCAGGAATCGGTTGGCAGGTGAGGCCAACATCAATATGCACAACTTTCCCTCGTTCAGCAAGAAGGCCCTAGACCTAGAAGCAAAGATAGACACCCACGACGGACGGAAGGAAGAAGTCACTGCCTCCCAACTGGAAGGCGAAGTTTCGAATTATGTTCGTTGACAACGATGGTTCTACCATCGAGTTAGAAGACGACTTCCAGACAGGAGCGGGTTCAGAGGCGGGCAGCATAGAGGTTTCAGGGGGTGGAACAGTCGTTGCCACTGTCCAGAAAGGTAAGGCGACCGGTAGACGTCATGGAGGTTCCCGGTCTAGGAGTCAAAGTCGACCCAAATGCTCCTCCATGGGAGAAAGTGGGTCTAACTGAGGACGTGTGGAGAGACTGGTACACCCAGCGGGCCCGTTGTGGCCAATATGACCATAATCAGTTCAAGTGCTGAAAAAAGAAGGTGACCGAGAAGATCCCGCCT